ACTCTGCTGACAGCCATCTTCCTTTTTCTGAATCATGTATGCCCTGGCTCCCAGCTGAACCTTTCCAAGGTGGCTAACAACAATAGCCCAACACAAAACCCCAAACAAATTAATTCCCAAACAGCCATTTCTTTTTTAAAGCTCCAGGTATTGCTATAATGTTAGAATATTATAATGCTCTAATATTGTTAATGAGAGATGTATGTAAGTGCTTATTTCCTCAGGTTTCACATTCCCAATGGATCGAAGTCTAAGTAGGAAAGCTGGAAACTATTCATTATATGTTCGTTTTGGAAAACACAATATTGTTAACCTAAGCAAGGTGGGTTCCCTCAATTTCAGGTTATGCCTAAGTATCTGGTTATTTCTGCCTATTGCTTCGAAGGGGAACAGGCAGAACTGGGTATAGCATTCACATCAATGGGTCCTGAAGCGAGAGTTCAGAATTGCTGACTTCCTGCATAGGCCAGGCATTGGTGGGAGTTTATTATTTATTTATATTTATACATGTATTTATAGGCCTCCTGTAACTGCCCAGGCCTTCCTAGGTGGCCTACAGTACATAGAATTTATTAAACAAAACACAACACATTAAAATCTATTGGAATACAATGAATGAAAGCCTCTATGAAAGCAGCATAAAAGAGGCCACAGCATTCAGGCTAAGTATTAAAAAAATCCTTAAAAGGTAGTTGTCAGACTTTTGTTTTGCATAGAATTGTGCCTTAAGCCACTTCTCAAGGTGAGGCCTTGGAACAGCAACATGCAAAAATACCCAAGGCTAGATAGAAGGACGCAGAACCCCTTCAGACAAATGCATCGATCCTGCAGCGATGCACAAGCCTGGTCTCACCTGAAGGCATCAGGGAAGTGGGGGGTGTTGTATTAATTTACCCTGCCTTTCCACCAAAAGAAATGGCAACTAGGTGGCATGCAACCCGGAATAAAACTGGATGAAAGCAAGAATGAAAATATGCACTGAAATACAAGAAAAACACAAGCCTCCTTGACTACAAAAAAAGCACCCAGCCCAGCAGACCTGCTTAAACGTCTCAGGCCTGATTGAATAGAACGCTCTTAGCTGAACAGAAGGGCAGCAGAGAGAGGGCAACCCTGGCCTTTCTAGGTCCTGGGAGTGGCCACCAAGAAGGTTCTGTCTTGTGACACCACCACATGAACCTCCAATGTCGAGAAGGTGTCGAGAAAAAGTTAATGGAGAATTTGTGTTGAAGAATGCAAGTGGTCTCTGAGCGGTAGATAAGGAGTGACGAAGTTGATAGCTGTGTGATGGGTGTCTGAAAATGCAGGTGTGAAGAAGGAAACCAGCAAAGATTGCTCAGATTTTGGACAATTTCTGGCCTTCTTTTCCCTCAAAGGGAATTAGCAGTGCCTTGGTCTGATCCAGCAGGAACCTTAGGTTTGGTTTGGTCACACTGATCAGTGGACCTGGGACAGTGAGTGGGAATCAACATGGCATCCAAGGATGGAATTCCTTCCCACTGTTCATTTATCATGTAGATATGATGTTTTCTCCTGTGAGCACTTTTAACTTTCCTTCCACCATCCCAATTTGGCTGATAGACCTCCATTGGCAAAGTTGTGAATATGGCAGAGCAAGGCACACAGAGAATCCATTCACACACTCGGCAAGGGGCAGGAAAAGCTGTTACTGTGAAAATTCACAGGAGAGTCTTGGGACAGGGGGACATAAGAACATGCTCTGGGAAATTACAAACTACTGCATATTGTGGAAGAGAGTGCTATGGCTCTGCCATTTGCTGGGACTTTCTTATTCTTTGAGATTTGATTTCCAGTTCTTTCTCATCCATGAAACTCCCAGGAAGTCCTCAGTGAATGACCATGTCCTTTAAGCGATGTCTCATGAACAAACGACTCCATGAGGTTTGCTTCTGCTGACACTCATGGGTTGGCCTTTATGAGAAATGGGAATATTTCCCTAATATTTCATTATCTCTAATAGGACATTAGTTCAGTCACTCAAACCTCCGCCTGGCACAGAAATAAAGGTGGGATAAAAAGATGGTCATCCAAAAAAATCACCTTTCCCCCAATTTCTATTCCATTGTTCCTCCAAGAAGCTTCTGGCGATCTCACCCTCTATGTTCTGTCCTTACAACAGTGCTGAGCTTTGTCCAAGAAATGGAGACTGGCTAATGTCGCCCAGTGAGCTCCATGGCTAATTGGGATGAAATGGGTCTCCCAAACTCAGCTCAGGGTGTTGACCACTACACCACACTTCTCTGCACTGGAAATAAAGAGTCCAACCGGACTGCCCAAATGCTTTGATGACTGCTAAGGAAAAGCCAAAGGCTACTCCTAAACCAGCCTTTTATTCCCCAGCAAAGTGCCGGCATAGGAATTCCGATTTCTGTATATCTAGCTGCCTGCTACAGTATATGAAATGCAAAAGAGAGAGAGAGAGAGAGAGAGAGAGAGAGAGAGAGAGAGAGAGAGAGAGAGAGAGAGAGAGAGAGAGCACAAAATCATAAACAGAGAACAGCTGGATTGGACCAAAGGCCTATCTGGGCTAGCATTCTGTAGCCATGGCAGCCAGCCACATGACTCCAAAAGCCTGCAAGCAATGGACCCGCGTAGCCATCCTGCTGGGCTGTGGGACCTCAGGCCAGAGCCAACCCTCTGGGGGTCCTCCTCTAGCCCTCCTGCTTTCCCTGAGCTGCATGTCCTAATGCTTGCTTACCGGTAGCTAGCACTACAAGGTTTTGTTGCTTGCTAGCTTGGCTGCGTTTTGCTCGGCACTGTGAGCATGCCCTTTTTGCAGAAGCTTCTCTAAAACAGAATGTGGATCTTTGGCTGAACTTGCCTCCGGGCAGTGGCAGGACTGCCCTGACTTGCCATGATGATGAGCAGCTATCCATCAACTGATCCGTCATGGATTGGCCAGTCCTACTGGAAAGGGCTCTCTCGCTGTGCTCCCCAGCAAATGAAATTCAGTGGTACATGACTTCTGGACAAAGATTACCCTAATGACTAGAAGCCCTCAGTATAATTATCCTTCATGAATGGGCCCAAACGGGTTCAAGCTCAGCCAAGCAACTGGCTGCCCCTGTATCCTGTGGCACCATGTGCCAGGAGCTATTTTCCCCTAATGGCTTCCGGGCATTTCTGATTTTGCTAAGTCATCTAACATGCCTTGGCAGAGAACATCTCTTGCTATTGGGATACATGCACAACAGGGTCATGAGGGCCATGCTGCCCACAATGCTTTTGCCCCCAAACAGCCTGAGTCATATCTTCACTTCTGCTCATCTCCCTCACCCACGTCAGTATTGGCCCTCAGAGCCCAATTTCTCATTTGGATCCAGGTTCTGCAAGGACCAGAATGCATGAGAATTGAGCACATGTCATGATAGTGTTTTCCTGCTCCCACCGCTTCGCCAAGAGCTTAAAAGGGTTTAATTCTCTACTGCCTTTAAGTCTGTGGGTTGATGTAGGATGGAAGAAAGGAAGGAAGGAGAGGCAGAGCTGAGCACTGCAGAACAAAGAAGGTAACTCAAAGGCTAGAATCATAACTAATGGGCCTGAGCTTCCATAGCAGAAGCTCCAGCTGGCCTTTTATGACATTTTTATCCCAACTTTCCTCCCATGTGCTCACATATTTTCCTCACAGTGACCCAGAAATGTATATCATGCTGCAACACAGTGACCAGGCCAAGGAGACCTTCAGGACCTTCTCCTTCATGGAGATCCTGGAAGCTCCTCCTCTTCCTCCTTCGATTTTCAAATTGGCAAACATGCATACCTCTGCATACCTAGGGAGATTGTAGAATATGCAGGAACGAGTGGGTTTTTTTTGGAGGGGCAGCCTCACTTAACTTCCAAGCTAGGCAGTCAATCATTAGCCAGCATTATGAAGTGTAAACACAGGGTGAACCTGGAGGAAACTCAGATGTGTTTTTATTTATTTATTTAGAATTTTTGTATGCCATCCCATTGCATAGCCTCAGGACGGCTTACATAAAATAAACAAATGCAATACATATAATACAAATAAAATCCAGATTCACCCTGTGTTCTGTGGTCCTGTGTCCTGCACCCCCAAGATACTTTTTCTTGGGTAAATGGTGCTACACCTCTTGAGAGTGACCTTTGGCCCATGGGTCAGGAGCCATGGGAAGCCCTCAGCCTCTCTCCACGGAGGGCGAGGAAGCATCACCCACTCTTCCTCTCTGCCCAGCTGATCAGCCATCTTATGGGTGGCAGAGTCCAAGACGGCTGGTTCTCCATTGCTATTAGCTTTAACCTTCCCCTGCCCTCTCTGATTCCTCCAGGCAAGTGTGTGAGTGAATAAACGCATACCTTAGCCATATCAACTGCCTGCTCTGCAACTTTGGAGTTCCTGCAGGCTTCTTCAGCCACAAGACAGGGCTTCATCCAAAGCGGGGTGCGGGGGAGCTTTCCCAGTACTGTCAAACACAAGTACCTCATCTAACCTATTCTTTCACCCCCTGAACATTTCTGAAGTATCCAGAAATAATTCAAGTTGTCAGGACACCAGTTGATGAGGTCAACAACTGCCATATTCTCAACTATTACGTACAACTTGAATGGCATCTGGTGCAGAGGTTATGGGTATATTGCATTTCATGGCCAATGTCAGTATCTCTAGGAGCGTGATAAAGGAGCACGGCCCACCTGGTTTTACACATATGGGTCCCTTATCGGGTAGGCCCTTGACGTAAGCTCAGTTTTGGTCCTGCCTCTTTGCTCCCGCAAGACGGCCCTGCGTAATGGCCAGAGAACCTCGTTGACTGAGAAGTGCCTCCAGATCAATGAGGGTCTAGATGCGGCACCTTAGCATAATGGCTAACGCTGGACTGCTGCAAGTGCTCTGTAAGGTGCAACCTCCTTCAGTATCTCCACGCTTTGGAAGAAAATGCTGGGACAAAGGGCCAGGGCTGCAATGTCTCAAGGAAATCTCTCCTCCCAGCAGGGCCCCAGACGGAGATCCTGGGACTGACCTTGTCTGTCCTGCAGTTATTCAGCCCAAGGTTGTTTGCCACAGCAACCTTCCCATCAAGCACCTGTTGCTCCCGCCGTAGCTGCTCCTTCATCTGCCGGGCCTCCTGGATTGCCTTGGTAACAGCATCGTGATCGTTCAAGTAACCTGACGACGTGATAGAGGAAAGGATATCTGGAAAAGGAGCGAGAAGGGATAAGGGACACAAACATAAGCAGGGTTACCAGGGAACAGGATGAGCTATTATCATCAAAACACTTGAATGTTGCCTTCTCTAATGGATGTTGGACAACAAGCAAGCTCATCGGCTGGTAGTGCCTTGCAAATTATTAGGGTCCCTCCTTTTGCGGTAGGAGAAGTTGCATTTTTCAACCATGCTTTGATCTAAATTCTGAAATCAAGATTACAGTGTTGGTCTGCTACTGTAACTGCACTGAAATTTGCATAAAGAACCATTCCCCTCACCTTGATCAAAAAAAGGAAAGCAAAACATTTATTGCTTGGTGCAAGTGCACACAGTGAGGATCTATTGACAAGCATGTTAGCTATTTCATTTCATTTTGTTGTTTCCATTTCCCATTCAAGGGACCAAAGCTCCCAATGACATGCCTTTGCCACCTTAAAAGTCCATGAAAAGCCTTCCACTGGGGTACGCCTGTGAAAGCAACAAAGACTTCTGGAAGAGTCTAGAAACAAGCCAAGGAAGTCTACTGGCACGTGTGTGTGTGTGTGTGTGTGTGTGTGTGTGTGTGTGTGTGTGTGGCCTCATGCCTTCAGAGGCTGGTGGCCAATGCAGCCAGCACGACAGTCAGAACTCTTGGAGAGATGAAGGAGGGCTAAGCAAGAGATCTGTCTCATTAAGTTCCTCTGCTGATCAAGGAAAGGAAAGGGTTTGGAGCTCTAGACCTGAAAGGCTCCAGTTCGGTTCGGGAGCTGGTCTGAGCAAGTTATGTGCAATAGGAACTCTTTTCGGTGCTGTAATGGTCAGCCAGCCTGGCCCTGTGGACTCCCCTTTGGGACTTGATCTGCAAAGGAGGCACTGAATTGCCTTCCTTTCCTTCTCCATTCTGCTGCATGGGCAGCATATCATTCAGAAAACCTTTGCTGGACTACATAAATCGGCAATAAGATGTGCACTTTATCATGCAAGGAAGTTAGGAGACAGAAGAACCAACAAGGTCCTGTGTCTATTTACTGACAGGTAAGTCCCACCGAGTTCTCAAACAAGCGATTGCATGGGACTGTAGTGCAAGAAACTGGGCGGCAATGCTCAGCAGAAAGAATATGCTTTTCTCTATACAGCAAGTAAATAATGGAAGGAACTCATAACCAAAACTGATGGAAATGGCCACCGGTAAGAAAAGGGAAGAAGGAGGGGAAATTCAGAGCGCTGCGCTGGCCATGCATACCAGAGTACCTGGAGGGGGTTTCTATTTGTGCCGCGCGGATGCCATGTGCCAGGGGCTGGGCATACCTTTATCCATACATTTGCATTGGACTGGCCTGTTCTGGAAGTTGGCTGGGTAGACTTTATCCAGAACTACATGAACAGGCATGGACATTTTATGTTCTTTGAAAGACTCATAGGCAGCACTGAAAGCAACAAGTTAAACACCAAAAGCCTGGGTCAATGGAAAAACGTTAGCTTGCGAACCTGGGCATCATGTGAGCAGCCTGGGGAAGAACGTTCCAGAGTGGAGGGGCCAGCTGGCAAAGTCCCTTTCCCAGGCCGCTGGCCACCTAAACTTTGTCCACGAGGAACTGATCACCCATGAATGCCATTTGGATAATATGTCTATTGGGGAAGCACTAGGACAGGACCTAACATTACATATTGGTACTATTTCAGCACTGTATTAAAATAAAATGTTGGACAGTAAATTTGAGAAGCATAATTGCATTTACCTGGGCAGACAGGACCATCTTATTATTCACAGTGTGCGTGTGTCTCTCTCTCTCTATGTCTGTGGGAATAAAATATGCTACACCCCTTCCTGTAGCCTTGCAAATACCTTAATAAAGCACAGGTGATACTGCTCTCCTGTGAGATACGAGGACAGAACAGCTAAAATTCTGCCACAGATGTCACCCTCTGCCACAACCCCACAGTGTGCACTTCAACGCACCACCTGCCTTTCAAAAGCACGCAAGACTTTAGACTGATTCCCAGTCTGCTAAAGCTCGGTCAGATGCTCAATTGTTTTGCTCCAGTTCTCTCGTTCTCTCTCTCTCTCTCTCGCGTGCACACACACACACTAGCTTTTAGAGTCCTGCTTAAACATTCACTTTTCTTTGACTCTAAATATGTGACTTGGATTCCCCCCCCCCATGCTAACTCCGATCCCCTGCGCACACACACAGCTCTAGCCTGTCATAAATTATCCTCATTAAGATCTGCATTAAGATCATGTTTTACAGCTCACACGCATAAAGACTTCATATCCTGGGTCTATTGAGATGTAAGCATATGAGCGGAGTGGAAAAGAACAACTAATGTCACCCATTTTGCTCCTTCCCAGGACTGTGGTCACTTTCGCCATATTTTTGCAAAGTAGGACATCCACACCACATTATAAAAAAATCTTTTTAAACCCCTGAAAACTGTAATATGAAATTGCCCGGAAAAGGGGCTTCTGTTTGTGACATGAGGCGAAATCTAACCAGATCCATCGGTGAATTGTAACAGATGGAGGGGCTGTGAGACAGAAGGCTGGCACTAATCACGAGCAAAATGACCGGCTTGCCTCAACATGTTCCATGGATTCCAGCAAACTTTACACCCTAATCCATTTTTAGAACAAAAAACATCTGGGCCATAAATCCTCTAATCTGCCAAAACACGCTATTAAATCCCATGATTTGTTGAAAAACACTAAGATTAAAGAAAGGAAATATAAAATGGCTAACTGCCGCGTTAGGAAAGTGTTATTAATACTCTTTTCTTTTGTCTCAATTATGAATGTTCTCTTCCTAAAGAGCCTTGTCTAATCATGTCAGATAACACATCCTTGTGGTATTGCTTGCGCCTTCTATCTGATCTGCCGATTGCCAAAGAATGCGCAGCATCGTCTCCTTGGTGCGCCGCTTTGAAACGTTACAGGGGAGAGAAGCTGGTGTCAGATTAGTTCAGACTAGCACGGCTGGAAGGTTTTGGCTGTTGCTGTTGTGTGGATGGCGTGTGTGTGTGTTTTAATGCTTTTAAAAATCGTTTTGAAAGAAGTGGCATTGGCAATTCTGGCTTCTTTTAGAAACTGAAACCTAGGAATTTGGGAGGCTTCCAATTCGTGTGGGTGGAGGAGTCTTGGTGAGAGCTGCTTTTGCACATTACACAGAATAAGGTTGCAGGCAAAGGGTTGGGGGATGTGCAGTCCTCTGGGTGTTGTTGGATTGCAGTTCCCATCATTCCTCACCATTAGTTAAGATGGGGAGCCAGCTAGTCCAGAATTATCAAAACTGACTGGCAGCAACGTCTTTAGGGTTTTGGTCTAAACCTGGGAACCTAAGTAAAGGTGGTGCTCTGCCAATGGTTCTTTCCCTAAAAGTAAAGTAAGATGCTAGTCCTCATGGTTCTGAATAGTGGCTTGATTTGAAAGGGAGATGGGAAACTGCCTTACACTAGTCTGAGCACTGCTCCATAATCATTTTATGAGCCCTCGAGTAATCTCTGACCTATGGTGACCCTATGAACGGAAACTCTTCCAAAGGCCCTCTCCATGACAGGCCTGCTTGTAAATGCAAGACTGTGGCTTCCTTAATGGACTCGATCCATCTCTTAGTTGGTCTTCCTTGTCTTCTTCTGTCTTCAACTTTCCCTCGCAGGATTGTCTTCTCCAGGGAGTTTTGCCTTCTCATGATGTGCCCAAAGCAAAAGAACCACAGTTCTGTCATTTTTGCTTCCAGGGAAAGTTCTGGCTCAGTTTGATCCAGGACCCCCTTGTTTGTCTGTCAGCCCAGGGTATTTGCAAAGCCACGTTCCAAACCATGTTTTGAATGCATGCATTTTATGAATGTATGTATGTATGTAGGCATGCATTAAAAGCTTTTCTAACCCATCCACCACTAGCGCCTTGGGATGACTTACAATGAAAACACGAGTAAGAAAAAACAAAAAAACAAAACAGCACAGCATCCAGCAACTTAAGATAAGAAAACACCATCATCTAAATATTAAAATGATGGGGAAATAAAAGGTTTTTGCCTGACGCTGAAAAGAATATAGTCCCATTTACATCCTGGCAGTTCTATTCCGAACCAACTGAAATATCTGGACTTCAAGGGCAGCCCCACGTAAAAGTTTCCCTGTCAACTTCTTTCACTGTCCAGCTTTCACACCCAGGCGTAGTGGATTGGTCCATCTACTGACTGAGAATGGCATTGTGGATACTTTGCTGGCCTGGGATCTAGAAGATCTGGGTTCTAGTCCCACTTGGCCAAGAAACTCCTTGGTTGGCTTTGGGTCAGCCACTCACTTTCAGTCCAACCTACCTCACAGGGCTGTTGTTCCTTGTGAGGATAAAACAGAGCTATGTAAGGCCCCTTGACTGTCACACAACAGGGAAAAGGGTGGGACATGCATGCAACCCAATAATAATGACATGTGAGGGGACATGGCAACTGCTTGAACAAGTCTAGATTTATTTGACTGAAGTGTTGAAAATGTTGTAGATTGACATTTTGCAAATATGCTGCACCAACAGAAAGATGGGCAAGAGTTGGTTGCGGGGGAGGGTCCTAGATCAAATCCAGCCAGAGCTTTCCCTAGAAGCAGAAAACTGAGGCTGTCCTATTTGGGACACAGCTTGAGAAGGCAAGACTCCCTGAAGAAGACAGTCATGCTAAGCAAGTTGGAGGCCCAAGAAGAAAAGGAGGGCTGGCTATGAAATGGACAGACTCCATCAAGGAAGCCCGGTCTTGAATTTAGAACAGCTAAGCAGGGCTGTCATGGACAACACAATTTGGCGGGTTTCCAAACAAAGGGTTGCCATGGGTCAAAGATGACTTGAAGGCACAAAGCAACAACAGGTCGCCATTTTATGGAGTATTTATTTGTTTCAGTATTTTATACTGCATGTTATTACCGTATCTGTGAATTCCTATGAACCTCCCAGAGAGCTTTGGTTACTAGAGGTACAGAAATGAAATTAATAATAATAGTAAGGAGAACAGCTGGAGGG